TGCTTCCATCCATTTTGAACCTGCACCAACCTGGAAGCCAAAATGGGGCATGGGGCACCATGCAAGACCCTCCCGTCCCTTTTGGGCCTGGAAATCCTCCCGTACTGACCTGTAAGCCAAAAATGAGTGGGTGGGGGAGGGGAGGTCATGTGTGTATGCGTGGGGATGGCGCACCCGGGGGGGGGTGGTTCTCGCGCCTTCAGCACGCGACGACCAAAAGGTTCGCCATCACCGGCCGATGTTAACATGTCAACTTGCAATCCAGCTCCAGAAACGGAGCCCCTCGTGTGCTGGAGCTCTCCTCCAATGTCTCTCGCTCTCTAGCCAAACGAAGCCCAGCTTCTCTTCTGGCAAAGATTGCCCCTCATTCAGGAGATCTGACTCCCAATCACTTCCTTCTGGAACCAGACTCCGGAGGGGTGGAGGAATGGGAGAAAAACATCATAATAAACCGCCACTGGGCCATTACATTTAAAATAAATTGCACTTTAATAAGAAAAAAGCCAACCCCCGCACAACAGCTCTGAAAATTCGGATTGCTTAAAGGGAGCCCCTTTAATGACTTCATCGCCGCTCCTCCAGCCAAGGTTCGGAAGGCATCCCAGGAAAGGTCAGATAACCCACCTCAATCCCCAGGGTTAAAAAAAGGCCCAAACCTGGGGGTAAAGGGGTGGGGTGGGCAGTGGGCTGTGTAAAATCCTCATTCAGTCACTGCAAGTGCTGTTGCTCACAGCACCCTGGTTGAAGTCTGCAGTCAGAATATGATCACAGCCATCCGACGACTCTGGGCAAGATCTCCCCCACTGGAATCTTTGGTTTCGTCCATCCAGAAGCAGTGCAGGGTGGGGCTCCTGTCCCCGCGCCACTCTGTCAGATATGCCTCATGTGGTGTGCTTCATGCCCTTCTCAGTCCCAATGAACACAGTGATGTTGGTATAGAGAGGGTGGAGTTCCTTGGAGAGCAGGTCATACTCCAGGGTGTTCATACCATCTTGTTTCCACGTCCTCCTCGTCTTGGCCAGCAAGTTAAATCTGCAGGAGACATTTGGGAAGAAATGAGGCCTTAGCTTCTCCTCCTCTCTCCTCTTCCCTCCCCAAGAAGCCTGGACAGCCATTTGACATGAGGTCTCCTGCCTTGAGTAGGGGTGGGTGGGACTAGAAGACCTCCAAGGTCCCTTCCAGCCCTATGATCTACGACTAAGATCAACAGCTTCCCGTATTTACAAATTAAGAGAAGCTTTATGCATCCTCTATCACAAATTCCTAATGCTTTTAACAGTTTGCAACAAAAGCCAGGAACAGAAGCATTCATTTTTAGCAATAAATCCGAAAACAGTCATGTTAGTATTCCCCTGCCCAACTCCAAGGACGACCGTTCGGGATCTGAAAACACATCACAGCTGAAGTTCAGGAACAATGAAGAAAAGGGAGTGAGGATATAGGAATCAGTGGCTAGGAAATGGGAGAATTGATACAGGTAGTCCTTGTTAAGTGACCATAATTGGGACTGGCAATTCAATCACTAGGCAAAACCATGATTGTTTATCACCCTTCAGCTTTACTTTACTCCACAGTTTGTAAATGTGAGGGTTAGCCATAAAGTTACTATTTTCTTACCATTGTAACTGTACTATCACTGAGCCGTGGTGGCGCAATGGTTAGAATGCAGTATTGCAGGCTAACTCTGCCCACAGCCAGGAATTCGATCCCTACTGGCTCAAGCTTGACTCAGCCTTCCATCCTTCTGAGGTCGGTAAAATGAGGACCCAGATTGTTAGGGGAGATATGACAACTCTGTAAACCACTTAGAGAGGGGTGTCGAGCACTGTGAAGCGGTATATAAGTCTAAGTGCTATCGGTAGTGCTATATTGCTATAGCTGTGAACGCTGGATGGGAAATTCTGGGAGTTGAAGTCCTGACATCTTCAAGTGGCCAAGGTTGAGAAACACTGCACTAGACAAGGCAGTCACTAAACAAGGACTACCCATACTGGTAAAGCAGAAAGATAGCTAAAGGCTTACTGCTTTTAGAACCGGACAATCATTGCCAATTATGGCTCCTATTACTATAGACAAAACATACAAAGAAGGCCAAAGTTTTAAATTTACTTAGTTTCATATTTGCTGTTCTAATGGCTATAGGTTTCTAGTTCATATTATTTTGCACAAGAACAGCATTCTGGCAGATCTGCTATGCAGGAAATAATATATATTGTCAAGGGAGACCAAAAAACACCTGTCTGTCGGTCTGACTACCCAACACTTTCCTGTCCTTCTATTTTTCTGCAGATTTCTTCACGGTGTCAGTTTATCCTTACGCGATACTTCAATTCTCAACAACTTTCCATCGGTTGCACAGAGTACGGATTTGGGAATAAATCAGCAACTGAATATTGGGCGCTACCTGACCAGTTCACTTCACTGTTGCCTCTACACAACAAAATTGTTCCTCGCAAGTTATTCATGGCGGTACCTATAGGAGGTCTATATCCAGGCCCAGAAGATTCTGCATATGTCATAGCTTTTATGAACAGAAGAATGACCGAAAAAGAAGAGGAGGAATTGTATGGAACAGGCGAACTGCACTCGATGGCAGGAGCAGGTTCCGTCTACAAATTCTTCTTAAATATTTCTTTCTGCTCACCTCTTGGGATTCTGTTCATTGCCCTTGTCGTGTCCGTGTTTGATCATGCGGTAACGGCCATACTGAATAGACGGGCGAGAGATCACCATTCCACTTAGGGCTACCCTGCAAGGAGGGGAAGGAGAAACATTAGCAGAAGCTAGCAAGTGATTGCAACAGGGATGGCTGCTTCTAAAATCAAAGATATACTCAGGGATTGAGTATCCAGATGGAAACTGGCTTTTTAATGTGCCTAGGAAGAATGGGAGCACACAGATAAAACATTTGCTGCCTTAACTGCCTACGTGAAGGAGTCTCACATGGAAGTAAGAATACATCTTTTATCATTTTTTACTGATTTAATACAGACTATTAATGAGTGGTTGGAGATTGAGCCACGGCGGCGCAGTGGTTACAGTGCGGTACTGCAGGCTGCTTCTGCTGCCTGCCAGTTGCCTGCAATTTGGCAGTTCGAATCTCACCAGGCTCAAGGTTGATTCAGCCTTCCATCCTTCCGAGGTGGGTAAAATGAGGACCCAGATTGGGGCAAGAGGCTGACTCTGTAAACCGCTTAGAGACGGCTGTAAAGCACTGTGAAGTGGTATATAAGTCTAAGTGGTATTGCTATTGTCCTTCCTTGGACTATTTCTAGCCCAGGTTGCCACAGACCTGTCCATAAAAGTCATACCTGACGGCGATGTCATCATCTTCACCACCCCAGCCCCAGTAGTTGTTAGGAAATCCATTCATCTTCATATATTGCTCTGGACTAAGTGCCGAAACCCCTCCAAAATATGTCTTGTAGGGAAGCCTGCCGGAAGAACGATGAAGGAGAACATTTGCTTACAAGAGAGGCAGCATCCACGCAACAACGAGAATCTTTCTGAAAACTTAAAAAACACCCTGCAAAACAGAAACCTGTGGGCTGACATTCCTACACCTAACGCACAATTTTGTTAGCGAGAAGGTTCGTTGAGAGTTGGTTCCCACCAAACGGATAAAAGGTGAAAAGCCTTGCATTTGTACCATGGAGGCTTTCAGGGCAGTCTCATCACACGCTGCCAATCCCAGATGGCACCTGACTGTCCCCTGTCTTGCGGCTGATCGTAAGGTGGATAGGCTGATACTCATGTTCCAGGATATCTAAAAATCCCTCCTCCCCTTGTTTGATGGAAAACACCTGCCTTTCCTCTCTGCTAGTCAGACAAGCCAATAGAGTCAACAAGATTTCCCATCTAACGAGGCCTTGCTTTTAATCACCTTTCCTCTAGAGTTCAAGGCTATACCGATGGTTCCTATGCCACTATTTTAACACTCTAGAAACTGCAGCCGATTCAAAATATAGTAGCACAGGCAGTTAGGAGAGCCCCTCGGCATTCACACGTTACACCTCTGCTCCGCAGGCTGCACTGGTTGCTGGGATTTTTCTGGGTGCCAATGAAGGAGTTGGTGACCATTTCTGAGACTGCCTCACCCTTATTAGATCTTGCAGAAGAGGCACTTCACAGATCCAGCGGCTAAAGCAGGGCTGTCAAACTCCCGGCTTGCGGGCCGGATGCGTCACGCGCTGGCCACTCCCACTTCCAATTTAGTGGAGGGGGGAAGTCCCAATACATCATGTGACAATGCCACGATGATGTGGGTTTAACACCCCTAGGCCAAGGGTTAGGAGGGTCCGCCGAGACCAGGAGAAGAACCTTTTCTGTTGTTGTACCTGCCCTGTGGAATATGCTCCTTGTTGTGGCCCACCAGCGGAGCTGGCAGTAGATTTGGACAGCGAGGAGGTTGGGGAGGAACCTGGGCCAGTCCTGGAGTCTGGGAAAGGCTCTGATGAGGGTTCTGTATCGGAGGCAGAGGCCATCTGACAGTTATCAGCTGCCTTCAAAGTCAGACATTAGTGACAAACAGCTGGAGCCTGTTCCCAGTGTGCGCATGCGCAGAGTTGCCAAACGAAGGGAACAGCTAAAGAACAGCAGTCGACTTGGGAATAAGGCCACAGATGGACAATGAATGGCCCCTCTCAGAGGAAATAAAAGAGGAGCGAAAGGGGAGTGGAGTTTGCAGGAGACAATTAGT